CACACACGATGATTGTATTGTTTATTTTTGTTTTAATTATTATTGTATTTTCAATGTTGTCTTGTGAGTTGTGAGTTATAATATAATTTGTATATAGCGCGCGATCGCACTCGAAGCTTTGCGATTACAATTTACACGGCCGCCGTGATCCAGAATAGTTCGCTCTACAGTGTCAGCCAAGAATCTACGCCGGACGCAAATCGCCGGTCTTTTTACTATTGTTTTAATTGTTATGGTGTAAATTGCCATTTTTTTAATATTGAATTATTCGTCGTGGAGCAAATCGCCATTAATTATATTATACATTATTATAACGTGGGCGCGAATCGCCACGAATCATTATATTATACTTTTGTTTTTTTTTTTTTGTATTGTGTTATACATATTTTTTATTTTATTACTGTTCAAGCGCTAATCGCCAATTATTATAATATTGTTTCGTGTGTGTTATATTTATTATTATTATAATAGCATAGGGACATGACCAGTTGGCCCGTCTGCGCTCCACAAATTGTGAGTTATTTTTATTATTATTATTATTTATATTATTACATTTACCTGTTACCTATTTCAGTTGTCGGCCAAAAGGGCCATATACTTTATTATCATACTTATTTATACGAGAAACAGCTCTAATAGCTGCCCTTAGCAAAATTATCATTTATTCTAGTTGGCCATAAAGGCAGTGCCTTCTATATTAATATTACCTATCATTTTTCCCGTCGGGCTAGAAGGCTGTGAATTATTTATACATTTTGTATACCATTATTGTGTTGTTGTGATTTATTGTATTATTTATTATTTATTATTATTCAAACGTGAATTATACAGCAACTCAGTTTTTACCAGCAAGCGTGTTACCATTTTTTAATATATTATGTTTAATTGTATACACACTCATACATATATACACATTAGACAATAGATACAAATACACATAACTACACAACATACACTCGACAGTATTTGCCCGGCGACCCCGACCACTACTGTCCGAGCTATCACAACACTACACACCCAGCTAGTCCTCCACATATTTAAGACCTAGGACCTAGGTGTAAATAAATTTGGTATCCAAATATATTATTATTATATGCTCCCGGTCCGCACAGCTACATAGATGTAAAAAAATTAATATTATTGATATAACTACGTGAACTTACATGGTACCTGTTCAAAAAAAGTCTGAAATTTTAAACTTTGAAAAAAAATAAGTTAAAGAAAATTGTGCCCAGGGGGTATTATTGGTACTAACTGTGTAGATGTAAACGTTCATCATATTTTTATATATTTCTGTAATATATTTTATATTTGAAAATCATACATTATAATACATAATATAAATATTATAATTACTTAAAATTGAATGTTGGTAAAATTCCTTATACAGTATATATTATATTGTGTATATATTATATAGGTATATATTTAATACATTTTAGATTACAAAACCTATATATTATCAGTGCTGGGTAGTAACGTAATTACAAATTACTATAACGCAATTACTTTTTAAGTAACGCAGTAGTAATTGCATTACATTTTACTCAAAGTACCTAACGCAATTGTAATGCAATTACTTTTTAAAAGTAATTTCTATGAAGTAAGGCACTAAAGCAAGGGTCACCAAATGGCGGCCTGCGGGCCGCATCCGGCCCGCGAATGCATTTTAACCGGCCTGCAGACTGAGAGGAAAATCCAATAATTTAATACGTACTTATTATAAAGCGCGACTGTTGTAATAATAAATGTTGCAGGTAATTTCTTATCTTGTGGAGGAGGAGAAGAGCAGGTGACCCCCACTGCATGCACTGTGGTGAGCCGGACGACACTGTGGAGCACACCTTGTTTAATTGCCCGTTCTGGGCAGAAGACAGACGGGAGATGGAGCAATGCATCGGCCGGCCACTACAACCTAATGATGTGCCGGATATCATCCTGGGACCGAAACAGGAGCTCCTCCCAGATGATGCATCCAGGAGGCGGCGTATCGAGGCGATGGCGGAGGGTCTGAGGTTGGCATTTGGCAGAATGGTGGAGGCGATTCTCGGGCGGAAGGAGGATGCAGAGCGGGTTAGGCAGGCGCGTTTTTTATTTGTGGACCGAAGGCCGAATTACTAGGGTGGTTAGAGGCCCCCATGTATGTATACTTTTTTGCTTGTTTGTGATGTTGTTTGGTGAATAACCGATACGGGTTCGGGTGGCAGTATTGTGCTAAACAGTTCCCCCCCGTTCCCGGTTTCAAAAGGAAAAAAAAAAAAAAAAAAAAAGGAAGGTAATTTCTTATCTTTGTACATTATTACTGCATTATTAGGTTTTTTCGGCTGCAACAAATATTATACTAGCCGCGAAGCATAACTTATCTTATCTGTTTTATTATTTATTTGAAATTGCATTACGACAAGTCGACAACTCATTTAATATACGTACAACACGTTAGTCCGTCAGTTATCGGTGAGATGGTGGTGTCCGCTGCGACGTAATTTTTGTTCGTCCGTTCCGTTTTGTTTATTAATTTTCGTAATTAAATAATATATTATTCTTTGTTTTAATTTGACTATGGATAGAAAAAGAAGAAAAGTAGAAAATGAAAATAGACAGTTTTGTCCTGAATGGATGGACTTATATTGTTTTATTTTACCAGATAGAGTAGGTTCCTTACCTGTTTCAGTGACTAAAGCGTTATTTTCCACGTTATTTATTAAAATAATAATTTTAAAAGTATTACAAAAACAAGCCGAGAAGATATCTAGAATCAATTTTATTTATTTTTGATTCCATCGATTAATAATAGTTAACAATATTATTAAACATTCCAGGAATTAATGTTATTACTTCATTAGCAGGCAGAAAGGAATTCGGCTTAAAACTAAAATCGAATTAAAATGAATTATGATTTACTACTACACTTCCTGTCCGCCTATATGGCTATATACCTATGTATACATTTAAACTGACATACCTACCTAGTACCTACATCGATGTTAAATGTTAATATCTTACTAGACTGCAGTCACCATTTACAATTAATAAGTATTATTATACTTTATTTATAATATATACTACCTAACCAAAATGTAAATTTTACTAATACTAATATCATGACATATTGTATGAATACGAATATCATAGTTTACCACTACTTATTAGTTATTACTAGCATTATAGACATGTGTAGTTTGAGTTTAAACCAATATGATAGATTAGATGATGTAAAGACAAATGATTAGGACCAACGGCCCAATAATAGGTAAAATGACTCGGATGGTTAACACTTTCAGTGATAATCCAAAAGTTGTTAACTTACAAATTCTGAATTTGCGCTTACAAATACTTACTAATGGACCACTATGAGGAGGTGGAAAAAAAGTTTCAAAAAGTTGAAGTGATCCGGCTAGCAAACTTCCATGGTTAATCCGAAAGTTGTTGACTTACAAATTCTGATTTTGTGCTTAAAAATATTTACTAATGACTTACTAATATATGGTTTGCTCGGGGTTAGGAAAAAAAGCAAGTGAAAAAAAAGCAAATTGAAAAAAAAGCGAAAACCAATTATTATTATTATAGGTATAAATTTTACATAATAACAAAAATTACTACTAGAGTATTAATTTTAGGATTATAACCTATGCTATAGCGTACTAGTGAATTATTTGGATCAAACTTATATTTCGGGAATAAATAGACCAATAGAAATTTTACGGCCAGGTAAAAAACTAAATTTCGAAATATTTCTCCAATCTTCCCACCTGCTACGTAGAATGTACACGAAACAACTATTAAAAATGCAGAGCGTAGTAATAATCAAACAGAAGGATTTAATCATCGATTTTCTAAACTCGTTAGCTATAATCATCCCTCTATTTGGACACTGATTAAAAAAAAAAATTAGAGATAGATTTAGATAGCACTATTATGTTGATGCACTTAATAAGTAATACCTACACTTATGACTTATTATAATATTATAATATACATAATATATTTAATTAATGAATTATTTTTATTTGATTTTTTTTTAACAAACTATTTGTAATAATTTATACCTAAATAATTAATAATAATAATAATAATAATAATTGGTTTTCGCTTTTTTTTCCTAAACTCGATTTGCTTAGATGTTGGGATATTAAAGATAGTCCGGCTGCGTGAAGTTAGCCGTGTTTTAAGCTTTCAGGGATAATCTAAAAGTTGTTGACTTACAAATTCTTATTTTGTGCTTACAAATACGTACTAATGACTTACTAAAGAATTACCAAGTATGAAAGTGGTTTGAGCAAAATATATTTTATTGGCATAAAAATTAGATAAAATGTCTACAAAATATATGTCTCAGGTGAGGTCTCAACTCACAAATTTAAGATTATGAGACTTACGCGTTGCCTGCTGCTGCACCGAGGCTCACCATTTGAACGCACATTTTAGTTATCTAAACCATAGATCTTATACTTCTATAGGTATATTATTTTATACCACAACTCATATAAGTACTGCTAAACAAGCAATTGGGATGGGAGACGTAACAATATAGAGAGGGCTAGTTTTTTACTCATTTATCTTTATTTAATATGTATGTAGTAGGGTAAGATACTAAGATACATAGACATATGTATATCTTGTTGTATTTCGTCGTCAAGAATTTAATTAAATTTAATAATGAAATAATTTAAATTAAATTGTATTTTATTTAAAAAAAAAAATGTTTTCTTTAACATACTGTCTTAAAATATCTAACTATCAGTAATAAATAATTGATGATTCACATTAAAATTTAAATTCTTACATTATTTTTAAAAATTGTATTAAATTTTAAATTTTATGTATGCATTAAGTATCTTTTTCAATAACAATATTCGAATCTCAAAATTATTTCGACATACTCTTTAATTTGTTTACGAATGTATTATTAATAAGCAAATAACTTCCTTTTAAAAATATGTTACATATTTATGTACAGTATTAAGATGTTTAATTATGTTTCAAGTGATGAAAACGAGTACTGGATTATTATACAGATTTTTAATTATTTTCATCATCAGTTATAGGGTATTCAATGACTTTAAGTGTTTTTTTTCTAATAAGATTTTGTTGCCTTTGATATATTCTGATTGCACCTTTTACTGCAATGTAGACTAACCCACCCTGCAATAGAAACATAAATATTATAAATGAACACTTGCATTAATATTGAGTACAATTTATAAGACTTACCAATAAAGTTTTTTGTAAGGATGAATATGAACAATTGTGGAATAATAAATTTCCAACTGTCACTGCAGAAGTCGGCAATAAAAGTGCAGCACAAAGAGTAGTAGCCGGAATAACGATTGAAAAGACTTGTTGTCTATTCCTTGAACTGTTGACAGGTTCATACCTAAAATTGAATACAAATACAATAAGTAATCAACTAATAAGTTATATACAAATGGTTTACAAAATTGAAGGCATGATGATCCTTAACAAGGGTAGTTGTGAAGTAAATCTCCAAATAAATAACATTAAGTTTTCTCCCCAATTCATCAATTTTCCAAAAATTAGACTGACAGGTATTGTCGGCAACACCAAGAACAAAATACATGGATTTGTATTTTCCATCATCATTATAGCTTCTCTTTTACCCATCACCTAACAAAATTCATTTATAACTTCTATATAAATAATTATCAAATATTAAAAATTAACCTGAATTATTGTTAGTATTCCATATGATGCTGCTGACCAATAGAGAGCAGTGACCTTAATGCCAGCAGTCAAATACGGATATATCCGATTAGCTGTTCTATCAAGTATGTTTAATAACAGAGCTAAGTAATCTGTTAAGTTATAAAACATAAAAATATTTAATAAAAACACATAAACTGTAATTAAATGTTATCTATATATATACTTTTATATAAAATTGTAAGGGGGTTTCCACGACTGTGCGAACCGAAAAAACTACAGAACCGATTTGGCTGAAATGTTTTAATGTTATACTCGACACTATGCTGAAGGTTTTAGTACCACTTTTGTCAATAAAAAATAAGTATTAAGTTATTATTAAGTAAAATAAAAGTGTTAATTGTATATCTATACATTTTTAATAAGAAATAGTCGCTAGCTGATAATAAATAACAATCCAAATCTCTCGCATTGCCCGGCAATGATTTTGATTGTTACTTATTAATTGTTTATTGTTAGAGTATAGTTTGTGCTTAGTTGATAACATATTTTTGATTCTCCTTATGAAGATTTATTGGGCATGCTAATAGAGTTAAATTTCGGGTAAGAGGCCAATTCATCATCATGCCGAGAGCACCAAGAGCAAGGATTGGACATAAATGTAGTCTGATAAAGTTAATAAATAATTAGTTATTATTAATTAAAATAAACATGTAAATTGTTTACCTATACCGTTTTTAGTAAGAAATACTCGCTGGCTGAAAATAAATAATAATCAAACTCGACAACCACCGATGCTTCTAAGCAGGTCGGTATCGACGTGGAATAATAAACAATTATTATAATTATTTTATTCAGTTTACCAAAAAAAAAAAAAACAATGAATTGTATCTGAGTATCTTTTATTAGTATTTATAATTAATCAATGGAGGTTTCTGGTAGAAAATTATACTTAGCCAACTAAGTACTCTTGAAAGGTTAAAATTGAAAATGAAAAGTTCAATTTTGTATCTTTTAAAACAATAATCGGAGAGATACCTATGAACATTTTAAAATTATAGTATTTTAATACAATAATTGTTTGGTAACCTTGGTAACCAAAAACAGACAATATAATTTTTTCCAACATTATGAAGAATACGCGGTGGCGACACTAAATTTATATATACACTGTTTCAAAAGAGAATATACCAGATTTACATAAGAAAACCGGTTTTGCCCTGGGATGTTCTCTTTTGAAACAGGGTATAGATACATCCACACGGAGACGTGACTTCAAATGCTCTAAAATAAAAATTATTATTTAACATCCAGAAAATAAAATAAAATAATATAATATAATATCTGAGAAATCTTCCAAGGGTGAAGCAATGCCAGGTCAGCTAGTGAAGATATTATATTTTGAAAGCAGATTTTTTAAATCGTAATGGATTTGTAAGTTAAAAATGTTTAGTCAAATCATTAAAATTGACTGATTAATGTTAAAAATGCTTCTATCAAAGTGAAAGTTATTCAAAATAGAAAATTGAACTGACGTAATGTAAAATATTTTTCCTAGGAGAAAAATTTAAATATTGAATTGAAAAAAGAAATATTTTATCAATTAATATTATATTTTAGCTATTTTATTCCCATAAAGTTTTAACTATCATCAAAACTAACTCTACAATACTTACTGACTTCATCTTGCACAATATATTGTGTGCGGCATTGAGGGCAATGTGCTTTAAAGTTGAAATTTTCTTTCAATTTTTCATCAATCCAACGTAGAACACAACCCTGGTGAACCTAACATAACAATTGTATATGTGTGAACACAACGCTAAACCAAACATTATTATTATAGTTTAATTGAATAAATCACAGGCACATGAAACATTAATTGTCATAAATGTCAACTAGCTACAATGTAGTAGGTCAAACATAGAAGGTATATAATTTTTTTTATTCAATTGTATGTATTTTGTAATTGTAATAAAAAAAAAAATATAAAAAAAAAAAAAAACATGTGTACATAGAATATAATATATCTATGGTATTGTTGAGTACCAATAAAGCTATATAAATTTAATAGTATGAGAGAAATCTGTTAAGAATCTAGTATTTAAAATTAAATATCAAACAGCAACATTGCACTATGGTTTTGATTACACCAACATATCCATTAATTTTTGATCCAAATATATATGTATATAATTACCCATCGTGAAGAATAGCGACATTTACATGGTGACACCCATTCTCTATTATTTTCATAATCATCATTGTCATCATCAGTACACAAACAAATCCAACACATTTTTGGCCTGGAATATAGTAATAAACATATTAAAACATTACTTTATACTACATTAATACAAGAGATGGAATCAACAATATAAAATTAATACTAGGTTATATGATATGTAAGATATTGTGATTTTTATGGAATACACGGTATGGGTAGAAGTTGAACATATTAAAATGAATACTTTCAATATTAAAATTAATAATTAAGAATGTTTGTTTTGATATACATAATCTATTAATGATTAATTTCATATAAGAACATACTTTAAATTGGCAACAGGAATTAATTTCATCTCTAATAATCAAACATTATAAATAATTTACTCAGATGTTTCTTGACTGCTGGAAGTTGAAAGTTGGCCGATAATTGAGTTCTCCATTTTCAAAAGATGTTGATTAAGTGATTTACTTAAAAAGTGACTTCACTAAACTTATCTTTCTACAAAGATTTAAATCAATTAGTCACTTTGCGAAGACACGGCTTTAAAAGTACAAAACACCTATGTCCTGATATTATTATATATTATTATGTAAATACAAAGGGAAATAATACAATATTGTATAATACGTGAATTAATAGGACATAAACACAAAGTTCCTGTCTTAAATTCTAAAAAACGTAAGATGTCTGCAGTAATTATTAATTATTGCTCTCGAATATAGTTATTACAGAATTCTGGAGTTGTCGATCAATTTTGATTGTTTATAGAAACTTTAGAAGCACTGAATATAACTATATAAGTCAGATATTGTTATCTCGTATTTTTTTTATCAATAGCTATTAAAACGTAAAACAACTATCATTGCTGATCTATTTTATTAATTACTCAAGATCAAGAATAATATAATACGAAATTGAACCATAAAAAATTTTGATTAAATATGTTTTAATTTAGCGGGCCCGAATAATAATTTCACTGTTATTCCAATTTCCAAGCTGAACAATTAGATAGTTTTGTTCCATGATACAGAGTATAGCGTTCTTTTCTACAGTACGGCCAGCGAAAAGTGAGCCGTGATCGTTACGTTAATGGTGGTGAGTCATGGTAGCCCTGATGAAGTTCGGCTACCCAAAGCATTGGATCGTGGCTCACTTTTCGCTGGCCTACTATAGTGATAAAAAATTAAAAACAGTTTTTACGAATTACTTGCAGTCTGGCGCGTAACTTTAATTCGGACTATTTATTTTATTATTCTAATCGTTTTAATATTACGTTGTATACGATTGCTGAGAGTTTTTTTGAATATTTTTCATGTTCTTTGCCTGTGGCACGTTCCACTCTTTTGTACTGCCGCGCTCGAGCCCTCCTAGCTGTCTGCTGCTGTCGTACATACTACATGACAGGTGTACGCCTCTCTAAATCTCAATCAATTACATTCATTTGTGTGATAAGAATCCTAATTTGGTTTTTGTTTATTCACTGAGCCCTATTGTTTTTCCTTCGGACGATGAAATCAGTTTTGGTTGTTGCGCAAGTCCAAAGACTTGCCTGCCGAGAGCAATGGTATTTGTTCCGCTTGTGTATCCACGATTGCCACAACACAATGGATTAAGCTTTATTATATCATGGACCATTGACTATAGTTGAATTTAAGTTTGCTCTTTTAACATATCATTTCACGTCCTACACCGCCGACCGTTCACAAATCACATTACAACAGAAATACGAATTGCCATAGTCTGCAACTTGACAAACGCAACGATTAAGAAGTAAGAATAATGACTATGTTTAAATGTTCAATATGTATTACTAATAGCATTATTCAAATATTCAATAATACAATATTAAATTCAATATAATATTAAGTTTTTAGAAACTAAACCATAACTTAAACCAGCTTATTTAATTTTTTAATGTTTCTCGGTAGTATTAATTGCCTTTATTATTATGGCTTTATGTTCATTGTTTATTTATTTTTTTTAGAGATTTTCATTGATTAGGCTATTTATCTATGTAGAAAGTAATTTATTCACATTGATTGCATTCATTGGAACACAATTGCTTGTGCCATTTAGTAATCAAGCTACCCAATCTTATAGTAAATACCTACTAATTACAATTAATATCAATTTTCAGTTATACTTCAAAATGTCTATGAATATGATACATAAACGATTAACCGAAGAAGAAATAGAACAGTATACTTCCAGGTCTTATTGCTGTCAAAAAAAAAAAAAAGTACCTACTGGTACAGAAACTTGTCATTTCAATATACCAATCATCATACTGCACTTGTAGTTTATAAATAAAAAATAAAAATAATGTTGATATCTAACAAAGTAATTAAATTATACAATAATTGGCCTACCAAAAAAATCACGGAATAACGATTAGAATTTTAACTTTGTATTCACAAGATAAGCAGAGTTCATTATCTAATATAGTATAGACGTCTGTGATGTGGCAGTAATTTCATTAATTAGGTACCTTCCTAATGCCTTTTAATTAAAAATTATTGATTAGTAAACATATTCGGGACACTGAGTAATAGTTATATTTTTCTTTTCTGTTGATAGTATAAATATATTCTGTGAATATTCAATATTATAACCTTTATAATTCAGTATATTTGGCATTTAGGATTATAAAAATTGTTTTTTATATAAAATATAATATATTTCAAATCTTTGGTTACAGGAAAACATCGGAAAACATTTTACCTAATGTGACAAAAGGATATAAATATGATAAGAAGATTGAAAATACGAGAAATATAAGTGGCAGTAGAATATTAGCTTTAAGAGTTTGTTTTTTGTTTGTAAGTAGATATATTTAAATTGGAAAAGATTCCAAATAAATAAAAAGTATTTTCTGGACTACAATTTTTTTTTATAATTTGGTAATGTCGTGTGAATATTTTCAAACTTAAAAAAATCGGGTGTCTAGAAGGTCTCTGTAATGAATGATATTAATTATGAATTGAATGATATAATAACATTTAATACAAAATATGATTCTGAGCGGAAAAGTTATGTCAGTCTAGGATATTTTATACTGTTATTACTTATTATTATACTACAGTAGCCCGTAAGTTGAATTAATATCAATTATAATATTATTCTTAAATTATTAGGGTAGTTGGAAAAATATTACCTATGCATACTTATGTAAAATTGTGCGGTTTTGGAACCAAATTACAACAAAATAACTAAAATCGTTATGCCTTGTGTTAATATTTACTTTTTGTCTAAATTTGAACTTAATAACTATAAAAAAGCTGTGTTTATGTTTATTTTCAGAATTTTTAGTCCCTGATTTGACTACTTATTTAGTACTTTGTTTCAAATTTTCAATCTTTAGTTTTAAAAGTTGAAAATTTAATACATTTTGCAAATATTTGTGGTTTCAACATACATATGCATTTAATTTGACTTTCCAGTAGAATATTTGTTTTTGATAAAGCTAGACAAACTTTTAAGGAATCTTGAATTCAATTTTCAAATTTTAGATATGAAAACAATTTTTTTTTATTAATTTCTAACTTAAAATAATTTGCAAATTTTCTCAATTTTTACATATTTTGTGGAAATTTGAACTATATTGTGGACTTATTTTTTTTTTGTTTCCACTAACAACAACTTATGAAGAAGCTTGTATTATATTTTCAAGTTTTTTTGCCTAGCGAACATTTGTTTATAGACATTAATCGAAAAAAAAAAACTAATAATAATCAAAAATTTCATATGCCTATAAATAGTTCAACATAAATCAAAACTATTAAAAATTGTATAGAAAATGCTAACACTGACAATCAGTGAAAATGTCATGTACCTATAGTATATTTAAAAAAAAAAATAAAGAAGACCAAAATTAATTTTTTCGGTAACTTGTTTCTCGTAAAACTTCACCTTTTTCCTTAATATTTTTTTTTGTTTTTCCTGTCACTTTTGAAAACCATTGGGAATTTTAAATTTTGACCTCCTGAATGAAACAACTAGATTCACTAGACTCCCTTGAGAATTGTTGCTGTTGAAGAAAATCAAAACACTTTTACTGCCCCAAATGACAGATACAAAAATGAAATAAAAAATAAATAAAAAAAACTAGTTATACTTTGAGTTACATTTCAAACCAAAATCGATTTTTTTCTACTTAATTTTTGTATTCAAGAAAACCATTGGAAAACACTAACTATCACACGACACACACTAATGTTATAATGTCAAATGGTATTTCTAATATTAAATTTCAAAAGCAAAAAAATGTTATAGGATCAGTAAAACGCAAATCCAATAGATAAACAAACAAAAATAATTAAGATCACTGCTAACAAAAATGAAAAACAGAATATCTCGCAGAATGAAATGGCATTTAAGGATTCTCCCTCATTGAAATCACACAAGTTTGAATGTCATATTAAAGTTGAATACTTAATTTACATGCTTTTAAATTTTAACTATATTAATTCTATCATTGAAAATGATCCATCTCATTATTGTACAATGTGGACTAATTTTTCAGATTATATTAATACTGGTAACTTTTTTTTGCATTATTTTTAATCTCTATGCATTTATAAATTTATAAAAGTCTACTCATAATCAATTAATTTTACTACATTATTGTAAAATTTAAGTTATATTTCTATTGTAATTTTTATTTATAATTTAAATAATTTTTTCCATTATTTTATTGTAACACAAAGACATGACAGCAATAACAATACATTTTCAATTAAAATATATTTTTGAGGATCTTATTTCAGTATCATAATCAGTATTTAATAGTAGCACAAATCGACGTAATTATAATTTTTTTTATAATAATTATAAGTGATTTTGGCAAGATGTCTGGTTTTTTGGGCAGTCTATTAATGATTATTTATTTGTGTCACATTTAATGTAAATTTAAAAAAATAAGTGAGTACAATGATTATTGATGTTTGAATGTTTTCTCGGTAGTTTTTTTTTTGAGATACTGGTGTATCAGTCTGTGAACTATCCTACTAAAAAAAAAAAATAATGTAAGTAATATAATATTTATAAAATAAGTTTGATTTTGATTATTAATACAGATGAAAAAAAATATATTGATTTTTATGTTTAATATAAAGTACTTTAATTTATATTCGGCTATGTACGGTTTAAAATTTTTACTTTAAATTTTTGGTGCGTTTGTGGTGGGTCGCTATAGACTTAGAGTTATCATGGATCTTTCTGAATAGATGATAGTTACACACATTATAAGATTATGATTTAAAAAATTGTCAATTTTATATTGTGTTGGGGTTAAGTTATTTATTTTAATACCGTTACCACTTTGTAAGTAGTACCTTTTGCTGCTGATTTTGGTATGAACTAGGAGATTTGAAGAATGCAATCAGAAAGCGATAAGGCTTATGAGATCATCAGGTGTTTACGCTACACTGCCCCGCACCTAATTAGCCAAATCTGTGAGAAATGAGTGTAGGATTAGTAATTCTTTTAAAATACTTGAAAGTCTATAGGTCAAGCTTTTTTGAAAAAAGTCTATTCTATTCCATATTAGTTTACTATTATTCTTAAATGATTTACGATTTTTTATACACCTATTAAATATTTTTATAAATCTCAACACTGTCATGTAAAATATTATTATTTTATTCTTTTGACAAAAATCAAAGTTATAATCATAAATTTCATTATTTTTTAATATCCATTTTATTATTTATTAGTTGACTTATTTTAATTGAAACAAGTTATTTTCATTTATCTAATTTTTTTTATAATTCATAATTATAAAAATAAATATAATATAAATAATATAATATATGCTAGATTAACACAATAAATAATTATGTATAAATGTAAAGTGCCCATTTGGCATCCACTAGTGAATAATGAATAAAATATTATAATATATATACAGCTCGTCAGCCGGTTACCTGAGAGCTGGCATGCGTTAGGGGCTTCAAACCAGAACTCTGCCGTCTCGGAATGTACATTTTTACAATAAAAAATACAATATTATAATTAAATATGAGACAGTCTTGAGAATGTGCGACTAACAATGATTGAATAATTCAATGTAAAGATGCAGTCATCAGAACACCAAATTCACATGCTTCTGTTATACCTCGTATTGCGCCCTGAAGTGGTGAATGATATTAATTATTTGAATGAGACAAATGCCTGAACGATAATTAAAGAAAATGCTCTCTATTGTAGACGAACACAAATGACTGGATATGAAATTATGATTAATGATTAACAATAAATTATGAATTGAATACTCGTTGACTCAAATTTGAAATAAAAGGATGCATTTTGTGAAATACCACTGGCTGGGTTTAGACCGATCAGCGAGAGAGGAGTAAAAAAAGATTGAATAAGTAATGCATGCATTTTAAGGTTTGGCTGAAAAGAAGAGAAATATTGAAACAGCCAAAGAAAAAAATAAATTACTAAAAAAAACGCGATCAGTACCCTCTTTAACATTTAATCCGTCATAATACAAACTTTCGGCAGCACTGAAAGAATGAATGACACGAACTTACGAACTTTAAAACATTAAAAGCACATAACACATAATGAATACAAAAATTGAAAAATGTAACCGTTGGAATACGCGCTTTGCCCACTATCAGTTAGATAACGGTGCGTAGCTATCACAAGTTGTCAGTGGGACACACAGATATATAAATGTTTGTATATTTTATATATTTGTAATATTTGTGTGTTTATATATCTGTGGTGTGACAAAAGACCATAGATAATAAAGATATGGATAGGCCACGCCTATGTTAAATACATTTGAGGCCGCGTTCCCGGAGGGGAAGGCAATTGAGGCTCCTTTATATTGATAGTCGATACTCAATATAGGAATACTTTATTTGACCTCAATTGTTCCCCTCGAAGACCGCTGATAAGACCAATATGTCCTATCCATATCTTTATTATCTATGCAAAAGACGCACTACCCATGTAATATGTGTGACATTACGTATGCATTGGACAGTCATCTGATTACAGCTGTTGACGGGAAGCAGTCAAGGTTTATAGATAATACAGGTTGCCTCAAAGTCATGTAAACAAATCGATCACCCCGCACTATTCCTTATCTACTGACGTCATTGAAGTATAAAATTCGCTCTCTTATTCAATGATTATGATATTATCATATGTGGTTCACTAATATAGGTACTTAACTAAAAATTGAAGTGTTATGTGATTTTAATAT